GTGTTAAAGTCCCTTAATGCAAACCTTGATGATTTAATAAAAGAGTCTCAGGGGGCTGGAGAGATGGCTCAATAGTTAAGAGCACTGGCTGCTTGCTCTTCCAGAGGTCCTGAGTTCAATTCCCAGCAACCAAATGGTGGCTCACAGATCTCTAGGGGGATCTGATGCCATCTCTTGGCATAAAAGCATACATGCAGTTAAAATACATAAATGAAAAAAATTCAGAAAAACCTATAACCAAAATGTTTGTCACATGTGCTGCTTAAATTAGAATTTCTTTTTAACCCAAATACCTCTAGAAAACAAAATTTGAATGTTAGAATTCTCCACAAGAAATCAGGTCAGAAAATAAGAAAACCTTTAACATGTTTTACATTTATGTCTAGAAGAATTTTAAATCAGACATGGTGGCTCACATCTGTAATTGCAGCCAGAATTTGAAAGGCTGCAGCAGGAGGATCACAACAAATTCAAGGCCAGTTTAAACTACAAAATGAGACCCATCTCAAAAACAAAAAGGAAAAAGAAATCAAGCTCCTGTAGTAATGTTTGAATTTATGCAAAAGAATGTTTACCTTCTCGATATAAAATTATTTTGGAACCAGTGGGTTAAGCAATCAAGTGATCCAGGCTGCCTACAAGTCAATCATTTGCATTTTCAACTGTTAAAGTCATTGAGGGTGAGGCCTTCTGTCTCATGAAACCTATTCCAAACAGAGTTCTTCAAATTGTAGTATACTTCCTATATGTCTGCCTTTTGTGAAATAAAATACTACCAGATCCAATCTACTGTCTGGAGCGTTTGGTAATTAATGATTAAGTAAGGTTGAGGATGTACCTACACAAAAGGTTGATGACTTTGCATTTATCAGAAATCCTACTACTTCAGCCCATCTAAAATTGAAAACAGGGCTAGGGATATGGTTCAATCACAGAGGGTTTGTCTAGCATGCATGGGGTCCTGGATTCTAACTTCAACACTGCAACTAAACAAAGACAAAGGCGTAAAGCATGTGGTATAAAAAAGATTGGTTCCACTAAGATAAGGCCTATATGTCTTAAATCTAAAAAACACTGAGATTTGTTCTTAATGAAAGAACACTATTTCTTTATTTCAGTTCTATTATGAAAGTCAGAGCCTAAATTACCATTGCATGTGTCTTTTCATGCACCTTTTTTTTTTGCAAGTATTTTGGCAAGCTCCTTCTTTAGAACTATGATTCTGGAGGCAAAGTATGAACAAAGAAAATCACAGTAAAGCCAGGTGGTGTGTGGGGTGGGGTGGTGAACATCTATAATCAAGCACTTGGAACATAGGAGAAGGATTAGGAGTTTTTTTAATTTATTTATTTATTATGTGTACAACATTCTGCTTCCCACACACCAGAAGAGGGCGCCAGATCTCATTACAGATGGTTGTGAGCCATCATGTGGTTGCTGGGAATTGAACTCAGGACCTCTGGAAGAGCAGTCTGCTCTTAACCTGAGCCATCTCTCCAGCCCCAAGGATTAGGAGTTTAAGGCTAGCCTTGGATACATCGCAAGTTGGAAGATAGCCTGGGTTACATGAAACTGTTGTCTTAAGGCTAAGTATATGTGTCTGTGTGTACACATAATTAGAATAAAATTTAAAAATCAAAATGTTTTAGATAATTTGTATTGCCAACCACACGCAATATTCCCTTATATTCTTTCAAGTTGAAATATAACTCAAGGGATGAACTGCATTATGTTTAAGTGGACAAAAACAAAGCAACAGCAACAAAAAAATCCTCAAAATCTCTTTTTGGGCTAAAAACAACTGCCATCAAGCCCACCTGAGTTCAATCCCCAGGACTCATTTGATAGAAGGAAAACACCAAATCCTTCAAGCTGTCCTCTGATGTATACGCGCACAGCAAGCTCACACACAATAACAAATGTACAAAAAGAAAAATTGTATGAGAAACTACTTTTGATACAAAAGAAAAACGTAAAAAGAAAACATTCTTTTAAGCCAAACATTATTGGCTCAGACTTGTAATCCTAGCACATAGGTGGCTGAGGCAGGAGAACTGCTGTTTGAAGCCAGCCAGCAGCACTATGGTCACACACTGAGTTCCAAATGTTGAGATTGTTGGATTATTCTTCTAAAATACATTGTTAGTTCTATTTTATGTATACGAATGTTTTGCCTGCATCTGTATATGTGCGTGCTTTGCACTTCTAATGTCTGTGGAGGTCAGAAGAGAGTATCAGATCCCCTGGAACTGAAGTTGAATGTAGTTGTGAGCTTCCAAGTGGGTTCTCTGCAAGATTAGCATGTGCTCTTAACCCTGAGCCATCTCTCTAGCTCCTGGATCCTCTTTTCAAACATATTTTCTAACAAGTATTGTTTTAAAGATTTACTTTATTTTTATAATGTATAGGTCTTTGCCTGTAAGTATGTCTGTGTATCACATGTGTTTCTGGTATCAGGGAAGTTAGAAGCACGGGTCAGATCTCCTGGAACTAGAGTTACAGATGATTGTGAACCTCCAAGCTGGAGTTGGAAACTGACCCCAGATCCTCTTTAAGAGCAGCAAGCATACTCTTAAGGATCTCTCCAGCTCCTTATTTTCTTTTTTTGAGACAGGCTCTTGCTATTCAGTTCAGGCTGCATTCCAATATTCCCACCCCCAGTCTCCCAAGTGCTGGAATCACAGGCACTGCTGAGCAAGAAAATTCTTTGGAACATTGTAACTTTCTATTAAGTCTGTAGTCATGTAAAAAGGTTTTATGCATGAATAAACTATATTACAGTCTTAGCATTTTATTCCTTTCAATAAAGAATATGCACTTCCATTTCAGCTTTTGGGGGTAAGATTCTAATCTATGTACTTAACTAAACATGTCAAGCAAACCAACTTCAAATTACTTCTAGCTCCCAACTTTAAATTCTACCAGCTCTTCCAAACAAATTCGATTGGTCAGAGCAGGGTAAAAAAAAAAAAAAAATCACTGCACTAAAATGAACATCGATTCAAACAACTATCTGTCCAGCTAGCAATTCTCTCTTCTCCAGGACCACCACTGTAGGGAACTCTTCCCCACAGCAGGCCAGGCCAGAGACAATTACATCATACTTTGTTATATCCCCAGTGAGGAAAACAGTCAGGAAAAACATCACAGACAGATCAGTCTACAACACAGCCTTACTTTAGATGAACTCAGAGAGGCAAGTTCCAAAAGAAAACTGTCTGTTATTTGAAAAAAAAAAAAAACCCAAAAGGAACAGCTTCAAAATCATAGGTAACTTTAACAAGATGATGTTAAAAACAGTAGCTATTAAATTAAACCAAACATCTGCTTAGGAAATGATGGCTAAAGTTGACAAGGAACATCAAATTTAGCCTAAAACTAGTTTCTGCTACAAATGAGGTCGCTGCTTATCAAGGACTTGGACTCAAACAGGGGTAAGACTAGGCAATGTCTCCCCCGACTCAGGCTATGAAAAAGGCAAAGTGCTCTGCTCAGCAAAGATACATAACCGTAGTATCCTTGTCCGCGGAAGTTCTCCAATATGTGACTCCCATAACCAGATCCAGAATTTTGTTAATCCCAAGCAAACCATACACTGGCGGGTTTTTTTTGGACTGTTTTGAGTCTCGCCTACGAAGCCCAGAACTCAGAATCTGCCTGTTTCTGTCGCCCAAAAGCTGAGATTGCTGGCTGGGCCGCCAGAACCGGGGAAACTTTTTTTCTTTTGTAATGCAAAAGGAAACACTAAATTGTTCAGAATGCTTTCTTTGTTTTAAAGGGAGCTCACATTCTGACCAGAATGGGGCGGCCAAGTTCGCAGGAGCCTGGCAAAGAAAAGTTTCCGGGAGGCTGTCTAACAAGTTAACTGTAAGCAAGCGTGGGCAACGGGACAGGCAAAGGGCTGCACGCTCACAAAGTCACAATCGGTAAATCCTGACAGCTAAAAACTGCATCTCGCGGGGACTGCTGGCAGAAAGGCCGCGCGGGAAGCGGAGGGGCAGGGACCGGCGCGGTGCCAGGGCTGAATCCAGGTCACCGCGGTGAGGGCAGAGAGCGGGCGCCGCTGCTGGGCAGAGCGGCTCCTACGGTTCTGCACCGAGCTCAAAGCCGAGCCGCACCTCCTGACAGTCGAGAGCGGCGGAAAAGGCCGCCGTTCTGGTCGCCGGGCGCACGGACGCGGCGTTTAAAGGTCAAGGTCAAGGTGGGGTTTGGCGAGCTACCGGGAAGCGCGCTCGGGAGAAACCGGAGACGCATGCAATAGCAAGGCTGGTGTTACTACGACCACCATCGTCTTAGAGAAAGGAAAGAGCTCCTGCAGCACCGCAGGATGGAGGCGGAGTGAGCGACAGGCTGGGGGGCCTCAGGCGGGGACCAGCGACGGAGGGGAGGAGGGGGGCACTCGGAGCCCGGCCCGCGGCCCCCGCCACACTCACTTGCCCTCCTGGCAGTCATACAGCACGATGGAGTCATCGTCGCTGCTGGAGATGACCGTCTCCCCATTGGGACTGAAGTCGAAGCAGTTGATCTTATCCGAGTTCTCGCGGAACACCTTGGCGACGCGGAAGCTCCTCAGCACGCTGTCGGTCAGCTTCATGGCGGCGGCGGCGGCTGCTGCTGCTGGAGGCAGCCGCGGCGGCGCAGGGCCGGGGCGGGGCCAGGAGGCGAGCGATCGGGCGGGCTGCTCGGGGCCAACCCTAGCGGTGCGGGCGCCGCGCTGGCGGCTAGCGGGAGGGCGGCTGACAGTCGGGCCGCAGCGTCGTCCTCCTCAGGGCACGCTTTCGCGTCGGGATGACGGGACCTGGCTGACCGTTCTTCTCCGCAGTCACCTCAGGGCCAACCGGCGCTGTGCCGGCTCATTGTGTTCGCCATCTTGAAGGGAGAAGCAAAATCAGAGGGCGAGGAGCCTCGGCCGCGACGAACGCCGGGAAAGAGGGCGGGCCGGGAACGGAGGCGCGAGCCGAGAAGGCGGGGAGATGACGTCAGCGGGGCGGGCGCACATTTCCGCGGCCCGGGATCGCAGCTCGCGGGTGTGCAGGGGGAGGCCTGCGGGCGTGGAGCGGAAAAGCCTTTCCTGAGGGCGGGAAAGTTGAGGTCGCCTCGGGACTGGTGCCTTTGTGAGTGCTACCGGGGAGAGTCAGGTATCCCTGGGGCGGCAGGTACTAGCGGAGGCCGCCCCGCGTGGCCTGTTCGTGGGGTGACTCAGGGGAACCCATCACTGAGGGGCTTGATCACTACACCACCAATCCAGGAGGCCTCCATTTATTATTTTAATGAAGTACAACTTACACAATTCTAGTGGATGACCTTTTATTTTCAATTGGATATATGCCCAGAATCTATGTCAGAGCTTTCTTTAAATCCTTCTTCAGAGTCAAAGCGCATGAAGATAGCTAACTTCAGGTGCGGACGGAGGGGGAGCCTAATGAAGATTCACTCACCTGCAGCTAATAGGAAGGAAGGTGTGAGTCCCATAGAACCTGGGCTGTGGTGAGCAAGGTGAAAACCACGACATGGAAACGCTAGCAAAATTGGAGTCTTCTTGGAAATAACTAGGAATTGAATCCCACGTCTTTCTGTAAAAACAAAACAAAAACCCGAGGTATCTACATAGAGAAATTGTTGGCTGAGGGAAAAAGACGAGACTGTGAATCTGGACTGAAGTTGCCACCTAACAGAGCAGAGCTCCTGGCTGCAGTTTGTTTTGGGGTTTGAGGAGGGGAAAAAAACCGGTTTGAGTGCAACCTGAATGGATGGCAACTTTCCAAATTGCAAATCGATTCACGAAAAATCTTCCACAGACTGCTGCACTCAATTCCCAGGGATTGTTTCTGAATCTGAAAAGGAGGCTACAGTCTGCGTGAACGCTTGAGAGGCCAGGACAGGTCTGGTGCCCTGTTGTGGGCTTGCTGGATGAACTGAAGGCCTTTAAAGAACATCTCTAGTAAAGATCCTGCAGACTGACTGACTAGGACATCGGAATCGTGGGAGAACAAATGTAGCCAAGAGCCAAATGATCACGATTTTAGGCCTGTTTAAAAAGTATAGTGTGTGCGTGCATGTGTGTGCGTGTGTGTGCGTGTGTGTGCATGTGCTTTTTAGCTGCTGAGCCATCTAAGCCAGCCTTGCTTTTAGTAGCCAGCTTTAACTTCTTTTTTTTAAAGATTCATTTGTTTTATGTATACAAGTGCTCTATCTGCATGTACAACTTTCTGTGAGAAGAGGACATCAGATCCCACTCCAGATGACTGTGAGCCACCTGTAGGTGCTGGGAATTGAACTCAGGTTCTCTGGAAAAGCAGCCAGTGCTCTTAGCCGCTGAGCCAGCTCTCCAGCCCCACTTTAACTTTTAACATCCTCCTAACTGATAAACTTCCCGAGAGCACCACAACGTTTAGCTCCATCAAGCCTACAACTAAGATGGCTGTGGCAGCACATCTGAAGTGTGGAATTTCCCACTTTGCAGGTTTGCTGTGGGGCCCATCTACTTGATATTCCCACAAATAAAACTGGTCAACATGGCAATTTTTTTTATTTTGGGGCTACTGTTCTCTTCCAGGTAGAACCAGGCATTTAGGATGAACTGACTCCTCCTTGTTTCTGGACAAGGCTGTTCTTTCCTATCAGCAGCTGGGAAGCAAACCCACCGAGGAGATGGCATTTTGGCGAGAAGAGTCTATATTAATATACGAAAATGACCACAGGCACAGCCGTAATCTACCGAATGTTCTCAGTCAGAAAAAATCCTAGAATGGTGGCTTTCAGAATTGTGTCCTGCGCCCAGGACCAAAGTGTGCATCCTCTCAAGACTTAGCGTCCTGCACTATTTTTAAAACGCAAAAAAAAAAAAAAAATTTTTTTTGACGTATCTTAAGAGTGTCATGAAACACTTTGTAGTTTCACTTCCTGTTTGGCTCCCTGCTCTGCTATGGTGGGCTTGTCTGGCTTTCGCTCCAGCAACACCGCTGCCTGAGAGGACAGACTTGAAAAGCCCAAAATGGCTGGCTATCCCCAGCTAGCAATGGGCAGAGGGGAAGCTGGAGTTTGGAATGAACTGCATGGATTTAAAAAGAACTCTAGGAAACCAGGCGGTGGTGGTGCACGCCTTAATCCCAGCACTCAGGAGGCAGAGGCAGGTCTCTGTGAGTTCCAGGCCAGCCTGATTTACAGAGCTCCAGGACAGGCTCCAAAGCTTCATAGAGAACCCCCGTCTTGGAAGGGGAAAAAAAAAAGAGCTCCAGACCAGGAATGGTAGCTCACACCTTTAAACTGGTCTACATTAGTGAATTTGTGGTCAGCCAGGGCTATATAGTGAGATTTTGTTTTTTGTTTTATTAAGATGAAACAAAAATATCAGAGCTGAGTATGATAGTATATGAATCCTAGCACTTGGGAGATTGAGACGGAGGAATATTTTGAGCTGAGGACAATCAATCTATGCTATCTAGTAAGACTACTTAAAACAAAAACAAACCAAAACCAGAAAAAGGACTAGGCAGGCCAATGGCAGTTGTCCAAGCTCAGCCTCCAGAGGCTGGGATCACAAGCCTGCGTTTCCTTACAAATTTTGGAGAACATTTCTGAGTGCAAGTGCCCAGCAGGGTTTCTTTGAGTCTCTAAATAACTGGAGTCAGGTGACTTCTCTGTGCCTTTGAAAAGAGGGTGTGTGGGAAAGAGCAATTACTCTAGAACAAAGGTGGGGAGCAGAACACAATTGAAGCGGGTGGTGACTTTGTATAGGGGTTTTGTTGCCGGTTGTGTGTAGTAGTCTCACAGATCATGCATAGCTTACGGTAACCGCTGCATACCTCATGAGTTGCTTGGTTTGCTAAATGAACGCTTCATTTCATTGCCTCAGGGAGCCCCTGAGGAAATAAATGGTCTATGCTATAAATAAATGATAACATTTTCTATCACTCTGAAATTATGAAATTGTAATTTCTTCTATGGCAACCCACCCCATTGATGGTTTTATTTATTTAACCATGTATGTGAGATCAATGAGTTGACTGAGGGGTGAGAATGCTTGCTACCAAAGTGGACATGTCATAGGGTCACTCATGGAGCCCGGATGGTGGAGGAGAGATCACACTTCCTCAAACTGCCCTTTGCCTTCGATGCTTGAGGTGTGGAAGGTACACACACGAAGTGAATAGAAGTGAATAAGTAAATGTAAAACAAAAACTTCTTTCTTTTTTGGTTTTTCGAGGCAGGGTTTCTTTATGTAGCTTTAGATGTCCTGGAACTTGCTCTGTAGACCAGCTGGTCTCAAACTCTGCCTGCCTTTGCCTCCAATGCCTGGTTTGTTTATTTATTGTTGTGGTTTGAACCCAGGGCCTGACAAAGCTAAGCTAGCTTTCCCGGTTTCTTTTAGGCTTAAAGAGGAAGACTGGGTTTCTGAGCCATTTCTCAAGGTCATGAAGACAACAAACACCTAAGACTGGATTCAGACAGTGCTCTGCTACTCAAACTTTGGCCTTGATTCCAAGGCAAAGGGCAAATAACCATTCATATTTAACAAAGTCTATTGTGGGCAGACAATGCTGTTTTGTTCTGAGGCAAAGATCTGGACTGACTTGAAGCTCTATCACAAAACCCACAGAATTGTCTCCAAAGTGTGGGGAAACTTTCTGATAAACTAACCTACATTGTATCCCATGGATTTCAGATGGATAATGTAGTTCAGCCTGTGGTGGGCAGATCTGAACTGGTATGGAAGGACTCTCTTGTCATGTGGGTGCCTCCTACAGTTCAGTGTAGCCATTACACAGCATGCATACTGTACTAAGAATTATATACCACATGGTGGTAGTGCAAGCCCTTAATCTCAGCACCTGAGAGGCATGCAGATCTCTGTGTTTCAGAACAGGCTCTAAAGCTATACAGAGAAGTCCTGTCTTGACCCTCCCCCCCATACAAAAGAGGTAATCTCAAGTATACAGAAGGCTTATATATAAAAACTATTTTAGGACTGAGTGTGGTGTCCCATGTGAAATTACCTGGTGTGAGTGAGAAGGAAACATGGAACACTCAACAAACCCCCTAGGAGTTTATGGGGAGACCAGCTTTTAAGGTCTGCCTAGTGCATGCACACAGGAGGATGGCGTGGTTACGTCATATGCAGATGACAGAGCTCATGCACTTGCACAAGGGCTCATGCAGCTGCTTCATACATAGATGATGCAACCATGCTGTACATGGGTCATGTGGGGTCCTTTAATATTCCCGGGGCCATTAGGCACTTCTGCCTGAGGGATTATCCACAGGGCATGGCCCTGGAACCTGGAAGTGTCAGCCATATTGTGTGGCTGAATCATTACACCATGTGTTTACCACTGGGGAGGCAGACAGGTGGATCTCTGAGTTCCAGGACATCTAGGGTTACACACTTAGACCTTGTCTCAAAAACAAAATTATTTTACGGGGCTTTAACGTCCATGGGTTTTGGTATCCATGGGAATTATGGAATCCATTATTGGTGGACATTATTGTTACTTTAAAATATTTTATTATTATTATGGGTGTTTTGGCTACATGTATGTATATGCACCACATGGATACACATTGAGGCCAGAAGAGGGTGTTTATAGTAGGCTTTATTTTAGGTCACCAACTAGCTCCCAAATCACAAATGACACAGAGATTTATTATTAGTTATAAATGCTCAGCCTTATCTTAGCTCTTACTTAAATCTGTTTCTCTTTATGTTTTGCCTTGGGGCTTCCTTACTTCCTTCCTGTCCTTTTTCCTGCTTCTTGTGTCTGACTGGCTTCTGGCCCTGGGTGTATCTCTCTCTTTCTCTCTTCTCTCTTCTTCTCCCAGCCTAGATTCTTCTTCCTCCTACTTGTTCTCTCTGCTCTTCAGCCCTGCCTATCCCTCTACTATTAACTATTTGCTGTTTAGCTTTTTGTCGACCAATCAGGTGCCTTAGACAGGCAAAGTAAAACAGCATCATTTCATAATTAAACAAATGCAGCATAAACAAATGTAACACACCTTTACATCATTAAATACAGCTTAAACAAAGGAAACACCAAGTTACATTTGCCTAGTTAAAGTAATATTCTTTGCCTAATTAAAATAATATTCTACAACAGGTGTTGGATATTCTGTAACTGTAGTTACAGATGGTTGTGAGCCATCGTTCTGAGACTGTGAATTGAACCTGAGTCCTCTGGAAGAGCAACCAGTGTTCTTACCTGCTGAGCCAGCTTCCCTGGCCCTTTCCCTCCTGCTTTCTTGAGACAAGGTCTATCTATGTAGCCCTGGCTGGCTTGGAACTCACTATGTAGACAACAGGCTCGGCTCAAACTCAGAGATCCACCTACCTGTGCCTCTGGAGTGTTGCCATCAATGGCATGTACCACCATGCCCACTGGTAGACATTCTGCCAGCTATTAAGAGACAGCTATAGCTAGGCAGTGGTGGCACACGCCTTTAATCCTAGCACTTGGGAGGCACTGAAGCAGGTAGATCTCTGAATTCAAGGCCAGCCTAGTCTACAGAGAGTTCCAGGACAGCCAGCGCTACACAGAGAAACCCTGTCTTGAAAAACCAGGAGAGAGAGAGAGAGAGAGAGAGACAGAGAGAGAGACAGAGAGAGAGACAGAGAGAGAGAGAGAGAGAGAGAGAGACAGAGACAGAGACAGAGACAGAGACAGAGAAGTCCTGGTGGTTCTGTGGTCTAATTCTTACCTCTTAAGGAACAACTGCACTCTGGCAATCCCCCATCAGTTCTACAGTTGAGCTGCTTCTGTGCGGTTTGTACCTTGTGTTCCACCTTGCCATCTTCCAGCACTGCCAACACATTTCTTTCCACAGAGCAACGTCACCCTTGCATCCTTCCACTAGACTAGGGCTCAAGGAGTAGCTATCAGGCCAGAGCCAAGGGTGATGGTGGAGGAGGACTGGCCCCAAGCTTGAGGTCCCACCCCAAATTGAAAGAGTTTTGTGTGTCCTTCAATTCACTGGGGCGGCTTTCTTCTCTCTTGCACACAGCTCCACGTTTTAATGAACTGTAAAGTTCATTAAAATGTATTGATCCTTCCCCTGTAGCTGCCCCCATTCACAGGTTACAGGAAGGTTTATAATTAAAAAGTACTTATCAGGAAAATACCAACCTGGGGCTGGAGAGATGGCTCAGTAGTTAAGAGCACTGCTGCTCTTCCAGAGGTCCTGAGTTCAATTCCCAGCAACTACATGGTGGCTCACAACCATCTGTAATGAGATCTGGTGCCCTCTTCTGGTGTGCAGGCACACATGCAGACAGAACACTGTATACATATAAATTTTAGAAAAATCTTAAAAAAAAGAGAAAATACCAACCAGAGACTAGTTGTGATTAAAATCAGGTGCACAAATCTTTAAACAAGCTTTTTAAAAAATCAGTCATGTTTTTTCCCTTTTTTTATATAAAAAAAGAATTTCATGTGACATCTAACCTGCTGTGTAGTGAGGATGACCATGAACTTCTAATCCTCCCTCTATTTCCTGAGTGCTAGAATTATAGACATGTACCACCATGCCCAGTTTTACGTGGTGCTGGGGAATGAACCCCCGGGCATCACATATGCTAAGTAAGTGCTTTACTACAAAACAAAATTCCCAGCCCAAGAAAAGTTTTAATTTGGAACAACTTAACATGTTGGGAAATAGGAGTCTAACACCTGGGCTGTTGCTGCAACTAAGACATTTAGATCTTTTCTGTCTTTCTTCCTTTCTTTCCTTTTTTTAAATTAAAAATGCATTTATTATTCTGTTTGAGATAAAATCTGATTATTAGTTCTGACTGGCCTGGATTTGCTAGGTAGAACTAGCTAGCCTCAACCCTGTGTGATCCTCCTGTGTCTGTTTCCTAGGGTTACAGGTTATGTACATCCAGGCTTAGCTTTGTGGAATCTTTTGTGAAAATGCTTTCAGTATCAAATAGGTGTGCACAAGTAGAATTCATTAATCTTTATACATCACACCATTATGGGATGGTTATGCGATGTTGATTGTGTTTTTTCCCGGTCAGAGATCAGTGAGCACCGTGAACCCCTGGGAATTTAAGAAAACATGACCATTTCATGCCTTTGATACTAGTATTCCAGAAGCAGAGACAGGCAGATCTCTCTGAATTCAAGACCTGCACAACCAGTTCCCAACCAGCCAAGACTATAAAGTAAAGCCCTGTCTAAAAGAAAAGAAATATTAGCCGGGTGGTGGTGGCGAAAAACAGCGACCACAACAGTAACCAAAAAGAAAAGAAAAGAGAAGAAAAAAGAAAGAAATATTGCTGTTGGGGGATGTAGCTCAGTTGCATGCATGAAGTCCTGCACGGCATAAAAACACAAAGGGGCTGGAGAGATGGCTCAGTGGTTAAGAGCGCTTTTAAGTTCTAGTCCCAACCTGTACATTGGGTCATTTACAACTACCTGTAACTCTAGCTTCAGGGGATCTGATGCCCTCTTCTGGCCTCCATGGGCACCTGTACACTGATGGAATGCTCCCTGCTCCCCACCGCACCTTAAAAAAGATCCACAAAACAACGACAAACCCTTTCCTTGTTCTATCGCTCTGTTTCTAGAGTTCCTGGCTTTCATGGGCACAGCAGAACCTCACACAAGGCTGACCTTGGAAGTCCCACCAAGCAGCTCCATGGCAGGTAGCAGACTGGCTGGTGCAGACCCTGTGAGGTGTTAGGGGCTGAACAGTAAGGAGGAGGGGCTAAGCAGACAAGAAACTGTGGGCCCAAGGTCCAGGATATC